GCGTCAGCCTTTCTGCTCCTATGATGCTGCTTGGCCTGCTGTGTTCATCCAGCCCTGCACCTTGTTGTCTCGGATTCTCCAGCATCTGCAGTTCCTACTATCTCTACGCCTTCGTGTGTTTTGTTTTCTCTCTGCTCCGCCCTCGGCCCCTCCCCAACCCCTACGCGTGATCATGTGACCTGCCAGTTGATCGACCGGAAATCTCCGGTGCGACTTCCGACATCCCGGGTCCTTGCTGGAGTTTGTAAACAAGCGGCCGGCAGCGGGAATGCGGTTGTAGGTACACGGAGGGGTGCGGGGGTATTGGGCCGGGTAAGAGCCCTTCCTTCTGCGGGAAGCCCGGCAGTTTGTGTAGAGGCCTGTGGATCCCTTTTGCTGGTTTAACCCAGGGACTGGAGACGGCTGTTCATTGGGGTTGCCTCTGAATATATGTGGGCCCCAGGCCCTTCTGTTAGTTTGAAATTCTGGGTCAGTGCAGGGGATGTGTTTGTTTCAGATTTGCAGCATCCGCAGCATTTTTGCTTTTATTCGGGGAATGTGTGTTTGATTCACGCGGATCTCCCCCTCGCTACGCAGACTGCGTAATCATCTCCAATATGTGAATGGCCTTTATACCCTGATGCCTAAATGTAACAATATCTACTAGTTGAGGGTATAGTTAATTGATAATTCAATTATTAGTTTTTTTAATTGCAGCTCTTTTTGGCATTCTGTCACTCAGGTTGCAATAAACTTTGTGACTTTTTTCCATTTGCTGAAAGCTCATTTGGAGCCTGTTGGACAGTTACATTGGAGTCAAATGTTGACTGTTTTTGTGTAGAAATTGTGAAACATGGCAAATGAAAATGAAGATTTGAACGAGGGTCTACACGTGGTAAATGAGGAAGAAGAAGAAGAAGAAAATGCTCTTGATTATCACCAGAATAGGATGCCACTCCCAACTTTTTATGATTTGGTACCAGAAGAACGTAGTGGCCATGTAGCTGTAGCATATGGAAGTTATATGTATATCTTGGGTGGTTACAAGGTAAGCTAGTACAAATTACATGAGTTAATCATGTAAATTTTATGAATTTATGTCAGTGCAATGTTCTGTTTCCATTGGATAACTCAACAGTAAATGATTACTGCCTTTTAAACCCTTTGTGTATAGAAAAATACATCTTCAGGGAGTCCTTGACAATAAGAGTAATGACAGCACAAAACAGGACTATTCAACCCATTATATCTGTGTCAGGCCTCGAGTAATTCTGTCAGTCCCATTTTGTCTCTATCCCATAGGCCAGCAAGTTTATTTTACTTGTGCCTATGCATTTTTCTTTGGGAGTCATTGATCATCTCTGCTTCCATGGCCTATGTAGGTGACAGGTTGAAGGTCATTACCATTTGCTCTGTTTAAAGAAACTTCCTTACATTTCCCAGTCTGCTTTGTCTAAAACCATAATCTGTGTCCTCTCGTCCTTTCATCATTGGCTGATGGGAACTTTTTTTGTCTTTATTTTAACCTCATAATTTTCTACATTTTATCTTATGTCTGCTCATCTCCTTTGCTGCAAGGAAAAAGCTCCAACTTTTCTGACCAAAACTTGTAGCTAAATTTCCACATTCTTGAGCTATTCTGGTAAATCACCCTTTCAAAGACCTTCATGACCTTTTTTAAGTACAATGCAAGAACTAGATGCAGTGCTGTACTTTGGCCTAACTAGCGCTTAACAAATGTCTGCATTACTCTTCTGCTTTTCGATTCAGTGCCTCTCCTTACAAAGCCTGAGTTCCCATGTGCTTTGTTAACTAATTTCCCAATGTACCCTGCCAGCTTTAAAGATCTTTATTCATGACCCCTTGACATTTGTTCCTATAAACTCTTTCTAGAATTAAGTAAAGATTGCCTCTTGCTTTCCCTTTTCCCAAATGCATTCTTTCTTTCTTCTCTATATCAAATTGCATCTGCCCATTTTGCTAGTCTATCTATTTCCTGTTGCACTTGATTGGTATCATTCTCACTGTTTATCATACTTCTCATTTAGTATCATAACAGATTTTGAAATTTTACTCTGCATTCCAGTATACAAGTCCTTTATGTATAAATTTTAAAAAAAGCACTGGCCCTAGAACTGATCTTTGGGTAAATCCACTGTCTGCTAATCTCCAGTGTGAAAAACATCCATTTACCACCGCTTGTTGCTTTCTGACCTTAAGCTAAATTTTTATCCAAGCTGACACTGACCCACCGATTCTGACAATTTCAATTTTGTTAACCAGACTTTACTAAACACTGTCTTAAAATCCATATAGCAGGAATTCCAAAATTTTAGATAGTCATTCCTGATTTGATTTATTACTGTCACATGTACCAAAATACAGTGAAAAGTATTGTATTGCAGGGTAACAGACAAATCATAATTTACCTAAGTACATCAAGGTATTAGAACAGAATGCAGGATATAGTTTACAGCTACAGAGAAGGCGGCATGCTGACTCAGTGATTAGCACTGCTGCTTCACAGCGCCAGAAACCAGAGTTCAACCCTACCCTCTGGCAACTTTCTGTGTGGAATTTGCACATTCTGTCCATGTCGTGTGGGTTTCCTCCAGGTGCTCTAGTTTAGTTCCATAGTGCAAATGTGTGCAGGTTAGGTGGATTGGCCATGCTAAATTTGCCGTGGTGGCTAGGGATGTGCAGGCTAGGTGGATTAGCCATAGGAAATGCAGGTTACAGGGATAGGGTGGAGGAGTTCGGTCTGGGTATGATGCTATTCAGACGGTCGATCTGGGACTTGATGAGCCGAACGGCCTGTTTCCACATTGTAGGGATTCTGTGAAAGATCAACTTTTATTGTGGTTCTGTTGTTTCTTTTGCTTGGTGTAAAGTAAAAATCAAAAAGTCAAGATTTTATCACACTGGATTAGCACCATAAAATCACAGTAGAAGATGTGATTTCATTACTTTGTTTCACTGTTGTCTTATTAATTTTTAGGAATTGTTTTACTTTTGTTTTTCAGAATGCTGCAGTTCAAGGCTACAATGATTTCTACTTGCCAAGAGAAGAACTTTGGATTTACAGCATGGAAACTGGAAGATGGTATGTGCAGTGGTTTTTTTCCTCTTATGCACATTTGGCACTTTGACACTAAAAAGAAACTAAATAATTCACATGAATAGTTTGTTGTGATTTGATGCACTTGGGTAAATATGACATTACGCAACCTTTTACAAGAGTGATAATGTCTAGTGATCCTTTTTGGCTTGATATCCAACACTACTTTGCCCCTAAGTGAGATCACTTACTGTCATGGTCAGTTCCCCCTCAAAATGTCACTTTCTGGGACCAAGCACTGCACTGACTGGATTAGATTTTCTGATAACATCAATGTAAAGTGTGAAGCCCGTCAACATAGAATCTACATTCCTTCAAATTAGGAGGAGACAGTGCTCTGCAGCTTATCTGTTTTATGGGAGTTTTTACACTTGCTGTTGCTGAATAAATCACTCTAGATTCATAACAGCTGTCACAAAATGGTGTCAAGCAATCCCACTGGCAAGTCCCCAGTCACATCATTCAGCTGCTTGTCTGTTTGGTCAGCCATGTCCAGGGCAGCTACTTCCCTTTATCGCGTCCACAGGCGTAGGTTTATGCATTCATCTGAATTCTCTTTTCACAATCATGTTTATTTCTTCGGCTGTAAGGATGCTTAACATTATCGATCTCTGGAGCATTGCACCAAATTATGGCAACAGTGTAGGAATCATGTTTCCTCAGTTTTTTGACCTCCGTGGAGTTAATAAATTTAGTCAAGCATGTGCACCTGTCCATCAACTTGGCTAACCTGTTCCTACCTTTCTGCAAACTGTGCTGTTTGCCATTGGCCCTTGAGCTGAGGAATTCTTGAGGCTGTACTCTGTATTTCTCAGTGCTTGTCTGCCAGAATCCCAAACAACATATCACTTTCCTGATACAACACTATAGGATGAGTCATAGGATTTCTAAAACCTTCTCAAACCTTAGTCAGCTCTCACAGAAAGTTTATACAATATGCCTTGTTCACATTTCCTTTTAGTTGTCCATTGCTGCTGGTCATGGATGATCATTGAGTGACTCAAATATAACACTTGTCAAGGCCACTTGTGGTAGTAGTATAAGGGTATGAAAGTATTAATACTGAGAGTGCCATTAAGCACTGCCCAATATGATACCGCACAGACTTGGGTAGGGTAACCGTTTAGGATCTCCGAAGTAAGTGTAACAATTTCTGACATGCTAATAAAGCTTGATAGCTAACTAATGTTGTTAGTTGCTGTCCTGCAAAAAAAATCTTAAAACAAAATGTCTGTTCCCATTAGATTATCAAGAAGTGGTTTTCCTCCACTGTACTTCACCGAGCACTCTCCAGCAAATTTCATCATGAGCAGCAACTCGCATGAAGTGAGCTGACTGCCTACACAGCATGGGTGGGTAGTGGAGTGATTATGACTACCTATATACATTTGCCAACTTCTCAGTTTTTCTATGGAAATTGTTAGCAAGGACATTGTTCCATTTGTTGCATGTTTCCGGCTGCCCCACCAAGTAGTAAGGTACCCTTACAATCAAATTTGAGGTTGTGTGCCTCTGATCGTAGAAGATGAAAGTCAGGTAGCAGGGTTCCTTCTGTTTGGTGTAGACATATATGGCACAAATATTATCTAGGTCCCACCGTGAGGTCTGCAAAGAGTAATGAATGCAGCTGAATGCTTTGGAATTGTCTATCGCTTCACTACTGCTCTTGTATCAGAGAGTAGGTCACTGAGGGATATAAGTTTAGTACTGACAATAGAGACAATCTTGCAGTCCTCTTATGTGCAGTGGTAGGGTCCCAACTCCCGGACTGAGAAACCTGTGTCCGAGTACCACCTGTTCCAGATGTGTGTGGGCGTAAAAAGGGAACGCTGAACAGATTAATTAGAAAAAAAAGTTCAATTAAAACCAGACTTTGGCAACATTTAGGGCCCTCTTGTGGCATAGTGGCAGTATCCCTATCCCTGGACCAGGAGGCCTGGCTTCAAGTCCCACCTGCTCCAGGGTGTGTAATAACATCTCTTAACAGGTTGATTTGAAAAATAGGGAAAAAAAATAGAGGCAGTCTCTTCTCATCTGGTGATGAAACTGTTGGTGGTGTTTAAAATCTGTCTTCATTTTGTGAAGTGATTCATGGCATTGAGAAAGAAGTGTGATTCTAGTAGTCGAAGAAAACAGTGACAATTGGAGGGTGGTATTAGAATGGCAATCACAGTGCTAGTTCCCTAAGCATTGAAGTCTTACAAAGATCATTGATTGTTCAGAAACTCTAATTTCAAATTAGTGGATGTGGTTTCCTGCCAAAACTTTAATTACGGGATCATACTCCAAGGAGCTTACATTTAACCAGCCCCAAATAACACCACACACCACTTCATTCACCCTACCAACTTATATTCGATTCTTGTTGCTGTTTTGCATACAAAATGTTAGTTATTAAGATGTTTTATTGTATTTACCCTACTTACAGGAAACACTAGATTTAGGCAGAGACTATTATGCACCAGACCAACTTTCATTTTTTTTCTTCCCACTTATAAGTATCACTGTTTTCTTGCAATTTGCAAGCATTTAAGGGTCATTGCCTTTAGGGAGGTTCCACTAGGCAGTAAAATGGACAATTCATTCTTTGGGTTACTGTGTGGTGAACTACAAAAAATGGCTATACCGTATATAACAGCCAACCCCAAAATTACTCAGTATTTAAAGTGTGTATGTGACCTTATCAGCCAAACTCTATAGATATAGCCAGTAAAGCCACTTTTAGTCTTCCCTTTCCCAAACTATATTAACTGAAATCAGTCAGCTGAATTTTCAGTAATTTCTTAAATAATGCTGGAGAAGGTAGACATTGTAGGGTTGAAGAATTTTCACAATGATTGTGACAGCACCATGGGGAAAGGAAGTCAGATGAGTATCCCATTGGGTCTTTGTTTTGTGCCATTTCATAGTTGAAGAAGAACAGCATGTGAAGAGGTAGCTGGTTTCACAGACATGGACATTCATGAGAAACTTCATGAAGAGAGGTGTAGGAAGATATGGAAAAAGGCTACATGACCTTCAATAGACAATGAGACAGTCTAGACAGTAAAGAATAAAAATGGTTAAGATTTGGCAGCATCTGTTTTAATAAACTATTTTAAAAACTAACTGTATTTTCAGATAAAATTATTAAATTCTTACAGGAAGAAGAAGTACACAGAAGGTGATGTTCCTCAGTCCATGTCAGGGAGTTGTGCTGCTTGTGTGGATGGAGTACTATATCTGTTTGGAGGACATCATGTAAGAGGGAACACTAATGAGGTAACAGCTTTGGACTGTTGAGCAGAAATCCTAATACAGTTAACTGTAAAGTTGTTAGATTATGCTTTCTCTTTTGGAAACTGATTTGACAAATGCTTAAATGTAGATAGTTATAAAACTATTGTTAATTTTGATTTAATTCCATCCCTTTCATTGGCAGTAGTCTCCATCCATGCCTTAACTATCTCTTGATTTAACTTTTCTACTGCAGTCCTGGCTGATATCCCAGACTCTACCTGCCTTACACTTGATGTGAAGGTGCTGGTGTTGGACTGGGGTGAACAAAGTCAGAAGGCACATAACACCAGGTCACAGTCCAACAGGTTTATTTGAAATCAAGTTTTTGGAGAGCTGCTCCTTTGTCAGGTGAAGTGACAAAGGAGCAGCGCTCCAAAAACTTGATTTCAAATAAACCTGTTGGACTAATAACCTGGTGTCATGTGACTTCTGACTTTTTTTCTTGCACTTGAAGTTTTCAAAAACTCTGTTGTCCTTGTCTTAACTCACAGCAAGTTTTATTTCCCTTATCATCCTTGTTTTCACTGATCTACCTTAGCTACCGATCAAGCAATGTCTTAATTTTAAAATTCTCATCATTGTTTCTAAAATTCATTCTTGCCAAACTTATCTCTGCGATCTCCTTGAGCTCCACAACCCACTGAGACATTTGTGCTCCTTTAATTCTGATCTCTAATGCATTCCTGATTATAACTGGGCCATGACCTAAGCACTGGAAACAACAGCAGCAACCCCGTTGACCCTGCAAATTCCTCTGCCAAAATTGGTCAAGTCCTAAAGGATTAGCCACTAAACTGAGTCTGTGACCAGCTGGTGGAAGAACCAGCAAGAGTCCAAAGCACACTTGATCTCAACCTCAACAGTCTGCCTGCTGGTGATGCATATGTTCAGGAGTAAAAATTGTGAGGTCATTGTGGAAACAAAGTCCATGTTTATGTTGAGAATACCCTCCATCGTGTTGTGTTGCATTGCCATCCATAGGATAGACTTCGAACAGGGCATCAATGAATGTTCTTTGAGCAGTCAATACCAGAATTGTTTTCAAACACAGTCTACACCCTTATGGCCTGACTTCACCAGTGCTACATCTGCTTTGCCTAAAGTCATACTGTTCCAACACACCTACAACACTGACACCTACCCGACAGTGTTGAAAATTGCCCAGATATGTCCTGCCCTTGAGAAGCAGGACAAATCCATCTGGCCATCAGTCTGTTCTCGGTGATGGAGCAGCACTTGCTCGATGATCAAGCAGCACTTGCATACCAATAACCTGCTCCCTGATGCTTAGTTTGAATTCTGTTGGGGCATACGGCTCTCGAAACAGTCTTGTTTTAAACCTGTGCAAAACAGCTGAACTCCAGAGGGGTCCTTGACATCAAATGGCTGCTGCCGAGCATTAACCATATTTGACTGAGTTTGGCATCAGAGCTCATGCAAAACTGAGTCAGTTACAATCGGGGAACGGGGAGCTGTCTGTTGATTGGAGTCATACACAAAGATGGCTGTGGTTGTTGGAGGTCAGATCTCAACTTCAGGAGCTAACTGCAAGAATTCTCGGGGTAGTGACGTATGCTGGAAATCATGAGCTGCTTCATCAATGACATTTCTTCTATCATAAGGTCAGAAGTGGCAATGTGCAATTATCAGCAAACCAATATTCAGTACAAGTTATGACTCATCGGATAGTGAAGCAGTCTGTATCCAAATGCAGAAAGACCCGTACAATATCTAGGCTTAAGCTGACCAGTGACAAATTACATTAGTGCCACACAAGTGCCAGGCAATGACCGTGCCTGATGAGAGTCAATCTCATAATCATTCCTTCATATTTAGTTGCATTGCCATCACTGAATCACCCACTGTCAACATTCTGAGGTGACCATTGACCAGAAGCTGAACTGGCCATTTATATCTTGTGCCTACAAGAGCAGGTCAGAGGCTAGAAATCCTGCAGTAAGTAATGCATGTGATGACTTAAAGTGTGTCCATCATTTAACATGGCACAAATTGTTGCAATGGAATACCTGCCACTTGCTTTGATCCTTGCAGCTCCAAAATCAATTGAGATGCTTCCAGGACAAAGCGGCTGGCTGATTTGGCACCATATCCACAAACACACATTCCCTCCACTGTCAATGTGCAGTGGCAGTACTGTGTACCATCTATAAAATATACTGCCAAAATTCACAAAGCTCCATATGAACCACTTTCCTAAACCAAAATCATTACCATTTAGAAAGATAAGGGAAGCAGGTACATGGGAATATCATCACTTTCACTTTCAAGTTTCCCTGTAAGTTACTCAAAAACTTAACTTGGAAATGTATCAATATTGCTTCAATATAGCTGGGCCCTCCTCAACAGCATTGTGGGTCTACCTACACAAAATGTACTGTGGCAGTTCCAGGAGACAGCTCATCGGTGATAGTAAGAACTGCTGATGCTGGAGTCTGAGATAACGCAGTGTGGAGCTGGAGGAACACAGCAGGCCAGGCAGCATCAGAGGAGCAGGAGAGCTGATGTTTCGGTTCAGGACCCTTCTTCAGAAAAAATGACCATTTCTGATATGGAGTGTGATACGCCAAAATGACCATCATAGCCTCCTGAATTATTCTTTTCTGAAGAAGGGTCTCAGCTTTCCTGCTCCTCTGATGCTGTCTGGCCTGCTGTGTTCCTCCGGCTCATCGGCATCACCTTAATAGTAGGTCGGAATGGATAGTAAATACTGGACCAGCCAATGAAGCCCACACACCATGAATGAGTTTTTAAAACAAAATTGCTGTGTCATCGGTTGTCTAGACCCATGAAGCTCTTGAAATTACTTCTCATGCCGTCCATCTCTTGTTTTCTTATTGATGATATTTCTTGGAATCTATCTTTTTGACTATACTTTTAGTCATCTAATCTAATATCTCCTTTGTTAAAACTTCTTGTTATTGGTTGTTATGGGTATCAAAATTGAATTAAGTTGTTACTTCCTCTTTACCGCTGGTTATGTATATTAAATGCATCATTTTGAAAAATGGCATTTGTCTTGTAGATTTGTGAAACCAATGATTTTAAAAAACGCTTCTTTTTCCATCTCCAAAAATATTTTTTATTTGTTGGTGGTAGGGGCACAATTTTTCCCCATCTTTAAGTTGTCCTGTGAAAGTTGTAGTAAGCTTTCACCTTAATGCTGCAATGCTTATGATAGTGCTGTGTATCATCATATTTGAAGGGAGATCAATGTAATGTAATAGCAGAGAATTTGGAAATGCATAATATAATCAAGCAGAGTCAGTGTGGCCTCGTGAAGGGGAAGTCATGCCTGACAAATTTACCAGGACTCTTTGAAGAGGTAACCAGCAGGATAGATATAAGGGAAGCAGCAGATGTAATTTATTTTGATTTTCAGGAAGTTTGATAAGATACAAAACATTAGACCACTTATTAAGACAAGGGCCCATGGTTTTGGAGGTAGTCTATAAGGCTGGATGGAGGGTAGTTTAACTAATAGGTAAGTTGGAATAAGTGGGCTTTTTTATGATGCCAACCTGTATCTAGTGGTATGCCACAGGGATCAGTGCTGGGGCCACAATTATTTACAATATATTTTAATGACATGGCTGAGGAATGTGAATGTACGATAGCTAAGTTTGCAAATGACACAAACATGGGAAAGCAAGTAATGAAGGCAACAGTTTAAGCTGAATATAGACAAGCAACACTTGGTTAGATGGGATATAATATGGAAAAATTTGAGGTTATGCAGCTTTCGCAGGAGTAGAGGTGTTGAATATGTACTGTAATTGGACTGTGTCTTGGAGCCCTCCTGGAGCTTTCCGATGTGGAGTGTGATCCACCAAAATGACCATCATAGCATCCTGAGTTAATTAGGTTAACTAAAGTTCAGCTACCAGAATCCTCCAAATAAAAGGACAGCATAAATCATTTTGGTGCAGGACTACAAGACTCTTCTCGGGTTTCCAAAGGGGAGTATGACACACACAACTGATTACCATGAGCTCTTGCATTGATTAGATGAGTGACAGTTTAGCTACTGTACTCCCCCAATTAAATAGACTTTTTTTGTGTCAGTTTCTTAGTATAACTCTGACTGTACTGCATTTGGAACAGTGCCAAGTACAGGACTAGTTTAGGGGAGCAAAAATCTATTCGGAAATTTATTGAAGTGCGGAAAAGTGCACTTATTTCCTTCTTCTAATTAAGTCTCTTTTCAATCACTGTTTGAAGAAAGCAGAGTATACTTGAAGTTGTCTTCCAGATGGCCATGGAGAAAGTTTAAAATGGTAGAGTAATATCTGTGACAACAACCTGAGACCGTACAATACTGATGCTGCTATGGTAACTGATCTTCATGTTTCAGGTGTGGGTAATATGGCAATTTCTACTGGCCTGTTCTTCACTATGGGCATGATGAGAGCTGCTTTAGTGAAGTATCACTGGATACTGATCCCAGTAAATGATTCCACTAAGTGATACTTGACACCTGTCTGAGCAACAGTGCTAATAGCTCCCATTCAATGTAAAAATCAACACCACAACTTTGGTCCAATGGACCAATAGGTCAGCTAGTTATTTAAATGGAGAAACGCTACAGAACAGAGGGATTTGGGATTCTATGTGCGTTAATCACACGCCCAGCATCCACATTCATTGGGTAATCGGAAGGCGAATGGAGTGTTGGCCTTAATTTCAAAGGGAGTGGATTAAAAAAGGGAGCAAGTTTTGGCAAGTACCTTGTAAACACTAAGAAGAAAAATAAAAGTAATGATGAACAAGAAGAAAGATTCAAAGGAAATCCTATTGGAGAGAGGAGCAGAACTTCCTCAAGAAGAGTGAGCAGTAAATTAACACAAAACTAAAACAAGGATCTGCGAGTGCTTGACATCAGGCCTAATTCTGCTGCTTTGTTTTATTATTAAAGTAGGGAGGTTTTAGTAAAGATGTATAGCTGAAACTATACATGACGCTAG